TTATAACGATTGCATCTACAAGTGATTACGTCTTTTATGAATAACACTTCAGAAAGTAATATAAAGAACAGATTTTCCTATACACATCTTTATTTTTGATTTTATAAATAACCACAATAACATCGAAATAGCTAATAAAAATTAACACGAAGGTATGAAGAAAGAATTTGAAAGTAATTGCCAGCAGAAAACCTAAAGTCGCAAAGTGCTGTTTTAAATGTAACTATATCTTCATAAACATCAGTTCCATAAGTAATTTAACACGAAAGAATGGAAAAGCAAAAGATACTCTTTAAGTTGAGATGGTATCAAAATATAAACAACCATAAACGAAGTCATAAGCGAGCAAATACGCCAAATTCATTTAAATCTTTGTACTTTCTGAAGAATATCAACATTCTTTTCAGAAACTCTAAAAAAATAAATAATCATATGGAATCATATAGATTACGCCATGGGTCTTTTGAAAAACTGTTTAACTTTTCTGACTTCGAACTTGTTTCTGAAAAAAGTGCCATCTGAAACGATAAACACTTTTTCAAAAGACGCACGACCTAACCCGAAAGTTTCTAGGTTCTAGGTTTAGTTCTAGTGTCTAGTTTTAATATAATTAACACCGGCCGTAAAAGCCTTCGTGCTTATATTTGCGTGATTTTCCAAAAGTGTATGTCTTCTGCGCAGTATTTTGCACATGTGTGGGCTCTTCTATTTTGCAGGAAACTTACTGCATTTCCGAGTGGTACATGTAGACGAGGGAACTTTATCATCCAACAGGATAGAACACCTTGTCAAACTTACAACTAATTAGCTTTCTATATGGCTTCCACCATTTTCTAATTATTTACAAATCTCAAGAACAATCTGGTAGAAGAATGTGATTAGATTTCAAACCCCTACGAGCGACGCTAAGTATCATGGACTCTAAGTACATGACTAAGAACATGACTGACGAGTATATTATAAACTCCTGCATTAAGAATGCCCACATCTACGGATAAAGAGAATAAAAAGGAAAAAAAAAATTGGCGTAAGTCTAATTCAGACTTCATTTATACAGTATGTCCCCGGATCGAGTTACAAAGAGGAAAAAAAATTTTATTACTGAATTTTCAAACTTATCTCAGCATAAATAATGCGTCGGATATGTTCAAACCACTAAATCGCACGAATTTTATACTTTAACTATAGAAGGTAACTAATTATTCCGATTTTTATGTAAAAATTGGACTTTTTTCTAAGTTGATAAATTTTCAAGTTCAATTTATGATATGTAACCATAGAAACCATAAAAGTTATAACTTATGTTAGTGAAAAATATGGCTAAATAATTGAATAAAATATTTTAAATGTAAATGTATGTAATAACTAATAACACACTATGTAAGTTTGCAAGTGAACAAATCAACTATTCAGCACACATTTGAAGACAAGTTCTAAATTCTTTGCAAGAATTACGAATTTCCGCCAGTGGTAGAGATTCTATCGCATTAATTATTCTTAGTTTTAATAGTTCTGCATCTCCTGGTAATGGTTCACTGTAAACAATTTGTTTTAATCGTCCCCAAAAATAAAAATCCATAATTGTAAGATCAGGACTATGTGCTGGTCATAAAATAGGACCTTTCGGTCACAATGTGTGATGGTGAGCTAGGCAACCGTCTCGCTGAAAGTACATTGACCGTATAAAATTTAAGGGTAATTCATCAAGTTGTTCATTAAAACAATTTTGTAACATATCCAAATGTTTCTGTTGATTTACATTTCCGTCGAAGAAATATGACCCAATTACCCCGTAATATGTTATAGCACACCACAAATTTACTTTTTTGAAATGTTGACTTCGTCTAGAGAGTGTAGAATTTGGATTTACATCACTCTTCTATGGTTACATATCATAAATTGTACTTTGAAAAATTTTTAGTTTAGAAAAAAGGTCAAATTTTTACATAAAAATGGGAATAATTAGTTAACTTCTATAGTTAGAGTATAAAATTCGTGCGATTTAGTGGTTTGAACATATCCGACGCATTATTTATGCTGAGATAAGTTTGAAAATTCAGTAATAAAATTTTTTTTCCTCTTTGTAACTCGATCCGGGGACATAGGAGCATATTTTTAATTTCCAACAATATTCTGTGTCCACAATATACTTTTACAATCTATGTATTGTAATTTAAGTTTTTCTACTAAATATTTAAATTGAAATATGTATATAGAACAGCGGCATCTTCCTTCATTTCTACAACTTCTAATTCTCCTGATGCTATATCGCATAGTATTATATCAGAAATTAAAAAACCATCATGAATTATATCAACTTCAAATGGATTGACAAAAAATGAAATTGTTGCTTTGAAACTTCTCAGATCTTCAAATCTGGTTTTAAAAATCGTTTTCAACTCATTTAACTCCTATATTATAGAAGTTATTAAACATTTCATAGCTTGTGCACATTTTTAGAATGTATATTGTGTAGGGTTTATGATATATTTTAAATAATTTTGTTAGTAATTAACTTCACACAAAATTTCATTTAAAATTCTATGTGACACTATGATTACAATTAAATTTTACATACATAGTTTATTACATAATTTAGCATCGTGTCAGGCGGCATTAACTCCATCATAGTTTTTTCAAAACTAAATGTATTATAAAATTAAATTTGAAAATTGTAAATTTAACAGTTTTCGGAATATGTTATGTGTCATTTTCACTGTCTGAGTTTATTTAACATTGAAATAATTTGTAATTTTGAGAATTTAAGCCGAAAAAAATAGATTCTTTTATACTACTTTCTACTTAAAAAATAATTTCATTAAATGTTGAATGTTTGAGTTAAGCTCTCGACATAATAGGACCGAAAAATAAACAAAAACATAATAATTGTATTTTGCACACAGTTCCCATACATTTACAAATAATTGTCTAAAAATATGCAACACAATTACAAAACCGGGATTTGTATCCATGAATATTCATGTTGGTACAGCAAAAGCACTCCAGAGTATATACAGAACAAAGGTTTTCGGTTTCTTCTAGTTGAGAGTTGCGGATTTTGAATTAAAAATTTCGCCCAAAGATACCGCAAGAATATTAACTACTGAAAGCATGTAAATAAGTCTTTAATTTTAAATGGACATATTTAAAGAGAAAAGACTCCAATTAAATCAATACTCTTAATACTCATTTCTTAACTTAATAAATTGAAGTAGAAATAACATCTTTGTTTATTAGAGTGTAGTTGATTGACACACCAATTTGATAATGGTATCCTGAAGAACACTCATGATGAGTCATACCCAGACTCCCTTCCGCTCCTAATTCATTTGTGTACATAGGACCCAAATCAAACAAAACTACAAGAAATACGTTTCGTGTTGATTTCAATTTGATCTTTTAAAACAAACTGAAAATCAATTTTATACACCCGTTGCTTCTGGTTTTAATCTATCGCGTTTTCATCGAGTGAGAGGTATGTAATTACTTGAAACAACAACGTATCTTCTATTATCCTCTAATAATTATGTAACCGCTTCAATTTTAACTTGGAAATGTATTTTATTATTATATTTTTGCTTCTAACACGAACATCGTAAAAGTTGCCTTAAAAATTCTTATGCATGCAAAACCATCTTTAAGTTGTTTCCTTGAAAAGTGAAAGTAAAATAACTTCTTTTTAATAAAAGGAAGTAAGATTAATCCAGAAAAAGTTGTGATAAATATTGAAAGCAATTTCTAACGAGATTTAAAACGATGAGATTTAATAAAGTATAAAAAGATAATTTTCATAATAGTACATAACGTAATTAAATGGGTAACCACAAAAACCAACTAATAAAAAATAATAAACGCCAAATGACATACATTTTTAATGAGTTACTCTTTATAAGGATATTCATTGGTGGTAAAATGCTTTTTAGCTAGATTAATTTATAATTTACGGTTTGCATTTTCATTCCGCGAAAATAAAAACTTTAATAACGACTAAAATTTTCATAGATATGCACAATCTGAAAGATCCCAAGAGTACTTTTAACGTCGTTTTTAAACGTAATCTAACCTTTTATGGCCCCTGATGTACCGCAACTTTATTATTAGTTACTATAGAAAATGCCGAAGAAAATGAAGTATTCTTATACTACCTTTATTCATAATAAAAGTAGAATAAAAGAAATAAAAGATTGACTAAGAAGAAGCGCTACAGGAGGTATAAGGATTATTAAGATGACTAAGATGTGAAGAACTCAAAAGGAAACATAAATATAAAAAAATAAGAGAATGTGGTTATAGAGACAAGGTGGATGTGATGGTTTAAAATGGTAAAAGATTAACTTAAACCGAAAATCCGTTTTACTAAGAATTATCGATCAGATTGAAAACGACAGGATTTGCAACTCACACACACCGGTAAGGTGACATTTCCTCAAGGTCGAGGTGCAAGTTGCGGAGGCTCATCGACATATTGGGACACCTGTATTTTCATTTTATTTTATAGGACTGGGACGGGTTTTCGGGTAAAGTTTGTGCCGATTGAAAAAAGTCCAACGTTCCGATCGAAATCGGGTCTTTTATATCGCTTTAGGTCAATAATATTAAAACGTCGTCGAGGGTTGTTTTTCCTTTCCGTGTGCATGCACACACGAAGGCATAGTTCAAAAATAGACCTGTACCAACAGACATTTATTACAGCACTCCTTTGTCTGGAAAGGCTCTTTTATATTTACCACTTTAAAAAATTAAAGTCTAAGTTATAAAAAAATTGAGATCGAGATGGGATGTATTTCAATTCTAAGAAACAATCAAAACAATATCTAATAAGAGTTTTCTGAGAATTTGGACCGGTTTCGTTTAAAATACCGGGAATGATGTGTGAAAAGAGGTTCTGCTCGTTTCTGTATGAGTAATATCATGAATTTGAGTCAGAATCGATGCCGGGTAGCAAAGAAAACATTGAACGTGATCAACTAACCAAAGCGTACGCTGCCGACGGGGCTTACCTAGTTCCTTTTTCCCTTTTATTATTTTTTGTATTTAATAAATTCGGATCGAAAATCCAAGGCGTGAACTCAATACAGCCATTATTGTCGCGATTTCGGGCACCGGATTCGCACTCAGGACAGTCTCCCCCACTTTTATATATAGAAAAACACACATGTTCGGCTTTACTGTTCAACACGCATCTTCCATCTTGGCGTGCACCATCAAACTAACTGGCTGTAGAATGCAATGTCAATAAACTGCGCACACTCCGGCACATTCGTAATTCTTGGATACTCCGAACCAGTGAAGTCTGCAAGCTCCAAACCACAGATCCGAATTCAGCCGCAGTCGACTTCGTGTTAAATTTCTAATCAACACTCAAAGAACTCATTTTGTATTCACTTACATCCAAATCCTGAAACAGTTAGTATATTTTCTTAAACAATTTATGACAGCTTAACTGTAGACACAGATATTTAATTTTGAAGTAAAAGTAATAAAATAAAGAAATATTTTAAAAATATATTGTACAATATCATAAGAGTCGTGATTTTATTATCAATACTTAGATTTTTTTATATTATGATTTCATCATAAATTATGATCATCATATTGTAATCTTATGAATATGTTTATTGTCGTACAATGTTCTTTGGAATCTTTAATAATAAATTTTTCAATAATTGTTGATGTATTTTTGATATTTATCATACACTTTAACAAATAGATTAATGATGCCAAACAGCCGAAACGTGTAACTTGATAATTAAACAAGTAAATGTGTTGGACAATCAGAAGTTTTAGACTCAAATTTAGATATTTGAATGAAATGGGGATGCCGATAAAAATTGTGATCAGTTGATCATATGTTGTTCAAAACATGGAACATTACCATAAACATGCTGTCGTCTAGTAGCTAACATTTCATCTATACCACCTGGATTTACAAAATATAGTCATATTGCCGTAGTACACATTTACGAAGACATAAAGTCCAAGAGCTATGGAGTCATTCAGAAATGATAGGTATAAAGATATAGCATCCTTATAACATCAATGATTACCAGCCAGAAAACTCGAGAACCAAAAATTAAGAGAAAACTGAACCAATTCAGACACCAAATCACTGACGAATTGAACCAACATCAAAGAGATTCTTACAATAATTTAATCAAAAACCTAACGACCAATGATCCAGGAATGTGCAATCTTTTAGCACAGATGCCGATAAATCCGTAGGTTTTTCAAACTACCTTTCTTGAAAAATCTTCACTCCACAATTTTCAAAAGCTAATCTTCCTGTTAATAAAGCCACTATTGATCATACCATCCTTGAAGAACTTTGAATGCTTACCAATAGACTACCTACCAAAAAAGCTCCTGGTCACGACCTTATCCCGAATCCAGTGATCAAAAATCTACTATTAGAAACTTTTTGAGAAACTGATTTTTGAACGTTTACGATTGGTCACTCAACATCAGCTCACAAGAGTTACGGAAATAATAGAGCGAAGATATGAAAATAAACTGTATACAACAGCTGCTTTTCTAGACATAACAAAAGCCTTTGATTCAGTATGGCTATATGGCTCATTTCTGGATGATAGAAAATTTACGTCAGAGTTAATGCCTATAAATCTGAATCAACACCCATCAAGGCTGGAGTTCCTCAAGGCAGCGTCCTCTCACAACTGCTATTTCATATCTGTTTACATTCCGATTAATAAAAATCACCGTAAAGGCTTATCCGCAGATGATATGGTTATAATCACCCAAAATAAAAATCTAGAAAAATCCATTCAAGATCTCCAAAACTCGGTTAATGAGATACATAAATGGTTATTGACTTGATGTTTTCACTTAAATCGAAGTAAATGTGAGGCCAAAATATTTACCCTTAGACAAGTTAAAAATCCTACAAAAATAATAATCGAAGATCACTCTTTAATCTGGAATTAGAAAAATAGCACTATCAAATATCTGGGAGTATATTTGGACGAAAGACTTACATAGAAGTATCATATTAATAAAAAATTAAACGAAGCAATGCAAGACTGAAAGAACTTTGAAAGGACCCATTATCAACAGAGAATCGAAACTGAAGATCGAATGTGCAATGCTGCTATACAAATCACTAATAAGACCTGTAATAACCTATTCAAGCCCAGTTTGGACATCAAAAGCTAAATCTAATAACAGAAAAAAATCAAGTTGTACTAAATAAAATTCTGGTTTGTGGGAAATTCACAGATACATGAAGAACTAGTAGTCGAGCACTGTACCCATCTCTTTTGCGGTCGTCCTTGTAGTCTTTTTCCTTTCGGTACCATATGTCAATATGGGTCATACCATGGTTTTATATATTTTCATTTTTCCTTCTACTCGCATGTATTTGTTCCGCCATATAGTATCCTTTAGATAGCCTGCCACTTATGTCGCTCTTATAACTTGTACTTCTGCTTCCTTACATAGATTTCAATAGTTTGTAATTTCTACACCAGGACAATATGGTATCAAAATTAGGGCTGCATGCCATTCTGACAGAGCCCATATTGGGAAAAATCAGCGTGCAGTTTTACTAGTATGACAATGCTGAGAAGTTGACAAGTTGAAAAATAAACACTACTAGAACAGAAAAGAGGCTGAAAGGGTACTAGGATACGAATATGATGTGTACCTATCAGACAAAAACAGAAATAACGAGGGAAACAAAAGTATATACATGGCTACTAACAAAAAGAGAAAAGACCCTGAGTAGAGTACCTAAGAAGAGTAAAGCGGGTAAAGAAGAGGAATAAGATTAGGAATGATGGCAAAAGGTAAGAGTTAAATATTGATGCAGGAAAGGAAGACCGCGATACACTTAGGATAATGCAATAAATAAAATAATCACCAAAAGAGGAATAACTAAACAGGAAGCCAAAAGTTTTGCAAGAAATAAGAAAATGTAGGCAAAATTTAAGCGCATAAACGAGATAATGACATACTCATACACTCTATACCTATACTTTGTCACTTTTTTGACAAACACAAATTGCCTCTTGATGACCACAGTATACAACAGTATATACATAATAAGATACGAAGTTGAAATGTCTGTCATCGTTATATAATTTTGAAACTATTCTTACTCTATCGTCAACTTTAAGGAAATCAAAAAAAAACATACAGCAAGAGTATTAATAGTGGATGTATAGGTAAATGCAGACTATTTAAAATTGAATAAGTGTCTTGAGTTTAGATATTTGTTTTTCATAACATCCGAAAAACCAACAAGACAATCTAAATTTGCTGATTTTAGAAACAGATGCATCGTTCTTCTTGTAATTTAATGCATCCATCTGTAATTTATTCTCCATTAGAATAATCTACTATTGTAATGGCCAAAACATCATTAAAATAATAAATATTATTCTATAAATTTGTTCCGCCGAAATGGAATTTCTTCATAAACTGCATGTCAACGCATTATAACTTACACATAGTGTTTATCTGAAAATTCATTCAAACTTGGTTTTTCATTTCCATTTTATCGAGAATTTATAATAAATTCGATGTTCAGAAACCGTTAACAAATAAATCACTTTATTGCTACTTTAAGGACAAAGTTCTCGTTGAATTTAGGACATCACTAAATAGTTGATAAATATGAAAAATATTGTAAGAACCCACTTCAGATAACTGAAATGTTGCTAAGCACATTATTACATAACAGCATTACTTCATTGTATTGGCACAAGTTACCTCAGCTTTGTCAGAAAATGTCGCGGGTCTGTAATTAATAGTATACCAACTTGCGCAAGCGGATCTGACTGCATGTGTGTTCGTCAATGCGGATTCTTTTGCTTCTTGTTTTATTATAACTTAGTGCTTTAGAAGTCCAGGAGATACCCGAGGGAGACATAACCCATTAGCAATGTTGTCGAAATGTATCCAATGACGGTTGGAATTTGAGATATAGATGGTATAACCAAGGCATACAGATGGAAGTTAAGGGTGATGTGTAAGTATTTCATAAAGATGTTGACGAATCAATTTCTTTCTCAACACATTTCTTGAACATATGACCTTCCTTTGTGCAATAACTACATCTTATTATCTTATCACCATTCTATAAATTTCCACTCCCTACTCAAACACCATGAAAAGTCTTCCTGGCTTTTAATTAAAAATAAACTACTTATTAAGTTTCGGTAATGACAGTTTTCAAAGTTTTTAGTATTCTGTTGAACCTCTTTGACATTCTATAAAGTGCATAGATGTCGTGATATTGAAGCAACTAAGTTTGTTGTCTTTTCTGTTGTTTTTTTCAATATTTTGGCATCTGCTATTTTACACTGCCGAATCCTATGCTTCAAAAATGCTTAATCGGATTTAAATCTAGGCTCTGAGGAAGTGTATTGAGCTGCCTGGGTACATAATATAGTAACTGGTGCTTGACAATAGTTGCTGAATGCTTGGAGTTCTTGCCTGGCCTAAAAATGCAGCGATGTCCAAAGCCCAAACTTTGCACTGATGGCTTCAAGTTTTGTTCTAAAATACCTGGTATAGCTGCCGAGGCTCAGTGATTATTAATCACTGATTAATGTTGTATGAACCTGAAGATGGTCATCATATTGCGGTCTCAGCTTTATCAGATGACAATCAAGGCTCAGTGATTACATCAACTTAAAACTGGCCATAACAATGCAGCATACAAACTTTATTGACTAGCTGCATAACCAATAGATAAAAAACACATCAAAATCAAGAAGGAAGAATCATCATTTATATCATTTTACATACTATAATTTTGCAAAAATTTTGCAATTTATTATAAAATAATTTTGATCCTTATCATATCTACATACTGTACTTATTTTTAGGAAAATGTTGAATTTTTATAATTAGAATTTTACATAAATTATTTATTTAAGATAGTTTGTATCAAAATTTACCGTTCGTAAGCAACATTTAGGCCAAGCCGGTCCTGTCATTTTCTCCTACCAATCCAATGATTCAGGTTAAAACCGCTCGCAACCAAAACGTAAAGCTCAAGCGGCAAAAATTAAATTTTCTAACTCATCACACTCCAATACGAAATAAACGTTAAGTTTAATATTAACACCAAAGGTCTTTTACCGAAATAACCCGAAAATCATGTCTAGTATGCCGATAACCTCTTCTACACTTCTTCCACTTGGTAAGTCATAATTTCAACGAAAAGTTGGGTTATGTTTACTACATAACCTAAAAATCCGTTTTCGTATTTTTATGTAAAATCAATTTTCTTGTTTTTTATTAGAATTGGTCGATAAATGTATTGGATCTCGGATACATATTATTATGAAAAATGATAAAGAAATTGTTGGGACTTTGTTGGGTTTTGATGATTTTGTAAATATGTTGCTTGAAGATGTTACCGAGTACGAAACAACTCCTGAAGGTAGAAGAGTAACTAAACTTGATCAAATATTATTAAATGGAAATAATATTACTATGGTAATAAGAATTATTTTTCTAGTGTTAACTATTATTAATTATTTTGTTTTTATAGCTTGTCCCAGGAGGTGAAATGCCTGATACATAATCATAATTTAATGTCACATAAATTAATTATTAATAAAATGTAAGAGTTAATTTAAGGAAATAAACGTTTCTTTTTTGTACCTATAAAACAATTTATTGGAATGGGATTGTTACCATATTTTTAATGCTTTAAATCTTGATTTATTTAGCAGATACTGGGGAGAGAATTTAACTGAAGTCTCTTTCACACATTACCAATTGTATGAATAGGCTGCAAATATTTGTAAGACTGTCAATCAATCAACAAATTGACTGAATAAATATATGAAGAGCTTTCAATTACATAAGAAAGTTATCATTGAGTCTGAGTGAAGATCAAGAAGCTCTCAGTAATATAGTATCATAAAGTACCAACCCAACAAAGTGATTAGGAACACACAAAATCTTTTACTAATCTTAGGAATAATGCGAGTTCGATTCTGTTGGTGTTGAGAAGGTATTAGTTTTGGTTCCTTGCCTTTTCTATTATCTTCACGAATAATTCACCCAACATGAGTTGTATTTTACTAATAATGAGTTTCCTGTGGTACCTAAGACTGGCAGAAAGACTGTAACTGCTCAAGTTGCAGCATTTGCTTAAATATTTTGAGTTCTGTGCCACCACCATCAATTTCCTAGGATATAGAATAACTCCAAAATGAATGAAATAACCGATGAGATCTTAATAAGAAACCATCTTGAAACAGAAAAAGCCACAAATTAAAAATTTTATTAATAAAAAATTATTATTTAATATTTTGTAAATTTTGACTTTGCAGTGTCCCTCTTCTTTTATAATCAACTAATGGAATTTTGGCAATTTGTTCTGTTCTCTCAATTTTTTCCCAACCTCACTTGCCTTATTTTTTAGAATCAACATTCAATCAAATTCATTAGAATCAAATTCGTTCTGCATTTTTCAATGTCCAAAATTACCGCTCTCTTTGTCTGCCGTCCATTTTTTTGATTTTGCAATAAAAAATAGAACTATCATCTTAGAAAACCAAACCCAACCCAACAGAGTAATTAGGAAGACACAAAACCTTTTACTAATCTTAGGAATAATGCGAGTTCGATTCTGTTGGTGTTGAGAAGGTATTCATTTTGGTTCCTTGCCTTTCCTATTATCTTCACGAATGATATTTTACTAACAATGAGTTACCTGTGGTACCTAAGACTGGTAGAAAGACTGTAACTGCTCAAGTTGCGGCATTTGCTTGAAAATTTTGAGTTCTGTGCCACCACCATCAATTTCCTAGGATATAGAATAACTCCAAAATGAATGAAATAACCGATGAGATCTTAATAAGAAACCACCTTGAAACAGAAAAAGCCACAAATTAAGAATTTTGTTAATAAAAAATTATTATTTAATATTTTGTAAATTTTGACATTGCAGTTGTTATCGTTCTGATGTCCAAAATTACCGCTCTCTCTGTCTGCCGTCCATTTTTCTGATTTTGTAATAAAAAATAGAACTATCATCTTAGAAAACTTGCGGTGTTAGAACATTTTAACCTAATTATTATACGTTTAATGGTTGCTAGTGAAAAATAAGAGTTTCAAACGGGGTAGTGCAAATGGGATGCCTTTTCGTTTGCTAGAGACGTCTACTCACAATCAGTGAAAAATGGGAGCAAAAGCATATGTCTAGTAGATGGGCAGTGAGTACCATTATTGTCAAAAAAGAACGTATCGAGAAGGTTACAATTTACACGTGACTATGGAAGACTAGCCGTCGAAAAATGGCGAAACATATTGTGGAGCGACGAAAATAAATTGCATCAGATAGACTTCGTAAGTCAAATTGGCTTCGTAAGGCGTTTTTCAGGAAAATAAATTAATCCTGGGTACACCAGCAAAACAATAAAACATGGTGGGGGAAGCATAATGGTTTGGGGGTGCTTTTCCTGGTATGGAGTTGGCCCAATTTTTTGGATATAGGGCATTTTAAATCAATATCTACATCAACTTACTGGAAAATACCATGTTGACCTACGCTGATGACAATATTCCTCTGCGGTGGAAGTTTCAGCAAAACAACTATCCCAAACACACTTCCAGGTCAGCGAAGGCTTGGTTTGCTAAAAAAGAAAATCGATGTGTTGCCATGACCAGCTGAATTTACTGACCTTAATCCAATCGAGCATCTGTGGGGAGATGTAAAAAGAGCAATTAATAATAAACAACATGCCTCGATGGAGTCGATGCGCAGCAGTGCAAAAAAACCGCGGACAACAAACAAAATATTAATTTTAAATGTTGCATTATACTGTTTTTTTTTTATTTTTCAGTAAAACATACATTTAAAGACTATTTTCAGGTCATACTTATTATTTTGCACAGCCCTTTATAAGGGTCAAAAATAGCATGTGGAACCTATGGAGGAATCTCACTACTCAACACAACATACAAAGTACTAACAAAAGTGGTTGCCAAACGTATAGAACCTTTTCGGGACAAGCTCTGCGAGATTATCAGTGTAAATTCCGTGGAGGGAGGTCAACAATCGACCACATATTTACAATTAGAACGGCACTTCAGAAATATTACGAGCATAATACACCTAAGTGTAATAAAGGTGCTCGGAAGCGTTGAGAGAGAGATTGTGGTGAGCCACGGCCTTAGGTAAGGAGATGCATTGTCCTGTATGCAGTTCAACCTGACTCTAGAAAGAGTCATCAAGAGCATTGAAATACAACAGGGAAGAACATTCTTTAAACGAGTAACGTAATGCCTGGCTTACGCGGATGATGTCGACTAATTATGCAGAGGAAAAATCGAACTGGGCACATACATACGGGAGATGGAACAAGAACAAAATACATGCTCAAATCTAGAGGGAGGAGTGGGATACAGCAACCGCAGGGGCTCTACGAGGCTCTATAGGAGTAGTAGCGATAAAACGACTCAAACTTAACGTTATGCATCCGATATATCTATTACCTTACCTGACAAGGCATAGTCTGTATCCAAAATACCTTCCCAAAATACAACTGGCATACAAACATCTTCTTTCAGAGTAAAAATCAAGATATATTGGAAATTGCAAGTATTAAGGATAATGTTTACATAAAAATATTAGCAGTTTGTAGTGGTACAAAGGGTGAGTGGTCCTTCTACTTAGTGTACAGGTGTCCGGAAACTCAACGTTAAGCGGATATAGGGTGAGAGGCCAACCCATACCTATTCTGGTAAAAATAAGAAAAAAAAATTCATGTCTTTTAGTTAAGTGGTAATAGACATATTTTTGACAATGTTAAAAATCGTTCTTGTATATTATACCTTTAGGTACTACGATCAGAATTATGTAGCCCTTATAAACCATGCTACTATAGAACTCACAAATCAAACAACAACAAAAATTTTGTTGAAAAAGTTTTGCAAAAAAAATATTTGTTCGATTGAGTTAAAGTTGAAAGAATTTGTCTATTAATTTTGACACACAATTTCTAATAAATGAAGTAGTACAACATCCTTGGAAAGTTATTTTAAAAGATAGCCTGTTTTAGTCAAGATTCCAAAATGGTATAACACTTGCCATTTTTCTGCAAAAACGCGTTATCTAAAAAATTCATACTTTCGTATGTTGAAAATACAAATTCCTCCAAAATAATTTAACAACTTTGTTAGAAGATGTGCCACTCAATATCCACAGAGAATAATAATGTGGTTTCAACAAGATGGTTGCCCAGCTCATTATTTTTGTCCTGTACGGGATTAAATAAAGAATATCCCAAATGGTGAATTAGACGTCTTGATTCGATTACCTGGCCTCAAAGGCGTCGCCAGCCAGGAAGACCCTGGTGATTTGGTGACGTTATACGCCGTTTTGAGCCATGTTTGAACTTTCCATCACTTTTTAAAAAAATTTTTATTACAAGAGGCGACGATTACAGGATGTTGGAGGATGACATTTGGCTTTTCTGCCAGAACTTCATGTACAGAATAAAACAATGTTTGACATGATGAGTTCTGTAAATGCCTTTAAACAAAAACTAAACATAATGTTATCTAGAACGAATGATAATAATTTCACTTCTTTTCCCAATATGACGTCTCTATTAAAAAACATTGCTGCTACCGATATCGATTTAAATAGGTATAAAAATGAAATTAAAAAACTAATTGCAGATTTTGACATGCGTTTTCAAGATTTAAAAAAAATTGATGATAAAAAGTGCCACTTTTTATCACTTTTCCGTTTAATAAAAATATAAATATAGAAAAAGTTGTAGAGAATCTGTTTGACTTGTTCGAAATGGATGTACTACATAAGTTAGAATCAGAAATCATAACACTGCAAAACGATATCTATGTTAAAGCAAGGGTATCTGAAGAAAATTGAAAGACAAGTATACAAAAAATGTGTTGAGATTTTGTACTCAGGTTGTGATTCAACATATTTATGTGAAACTGCATTTTCACAAATGAAAATAATAAAATCTAAATACCGATCGGCATTGACAGATCTCAATTTAGAATCCTGTTTGAGAAATGCCCTAAGTAATTACATTCCTAACTTTAAAAAGATTGTAGGCTCACAGCAGTGTCGAATAAGTCAACCATTCACCTGGAATGTATTAAAATGGCTCATTACTGGCTCAATTTAATATCTGTATTAAAACTTAAAATATTAATAAATGAGTTAAATGAAATGATTTTTTATTTCATATTTTCTTCATTGAAAAAATGTGATATTATTATAAGCAGGTAGGTAAATATGACAGGATGAGCCAGTATATAAAAAAAAAAGGTACGTTTATGTAAAAAAAGATTTTAAACCATTCGGTCGATCTTGGCAAGAAATTTATATGAAAAGTCGATCTTGGTCAAAAATTAGTGGACACCACTGATATACGGGAAAGATTTTTAACATTGTCAATAATATGGAATTTTTTTCTTATTTTTACCAGAACAGGTATGAGTTGGCCTTTCGCGTTGTACCCGCTTGACTTTAAGTTTCACGACACCCTGTATAAGATTTGTAATTGTAATGATAAACATCAACACTAAAATAAATCTATTATAAAAACATTTTATTAAATAATCAATAAATCATATTATAGATAGAAATAAAAAGAAATAATTTTGAGTTAAATCTTTTTCAATTCCTTTTCAACTATAATTTTATATAATTACTATAATTAAGACAATTAATAAATACTAAAAAAAAATATTTAAAATCTTTCACTATTACAGAAAAAAAAAATATAGAACCAAACTCTAAAAACTTGATTTTAAAATAATATATATATTTTTTAATTTATACTAATTAATAAAAACTCACATATAGGATTTATAAACTATTTAATTTTGCAAAATAAAGAATGCAAAATAAAAAAAATACATTAATTATTTATCATTATCGTTTGTACTTAAATTGCAACACATTACAAGAGTGATTACAATCAACATTACATATTATTACCTTAAGAGTGCATTATAATACAAAAAAAAATAATTCTATATTATAATAATTAAAAAATATATTATTTAACGAACACAATAAGGTTATAAATATACACGACAAGGCATTCGCCTTCTACCTTTTTTTGTAGGTCTTACTTTAACCTGTTCTTTAATTTGACCAGGTTTCGTTTTAGATCGAACATGAGCTGTACGCAAATGTGCTGAGACTTCACTAGTAGTTGCAAAACTAGCATGGCATTTATTGCATGCATAAAGAAAAGTATTGTTGTGTATTTTTTGATGGTTAATTAATGCCTTAGCTGTTTTAAAAGTTAAATCACATTCATTGCAAGAATATTTCCTATCATTATGTACTTTAAAATGTTCTGCTAAATCCCATTCTTCCTCACATTTATAATTACACATTCCACATGAATATTTTGAATGGGCAGTACGAAAATGATGTGAGAGACTTTGGGCTTTATCAAATTGCTGACCACAAGCTATACAATTATAATGACACTTTACGAATTGTTTGTCATGAATGAGACGATGAGAATGTAAGCTAGATAAAGATCTACATTTAAAATTGCACAATGTACAAATAAATTCTCCTATTCCCGAATTATAATCTTCAACATCCGTCTTTGTTTTATTAACAACCTTATCAATTACTTCTTGAACAGACAAAGAAACATCAACTTGCGACGAAGTTGATTGAAAACATCCATTAGTCTCGTCATTGTCTATATTTCTTATTTCGTAGGATTCAATGAGATTTATAGCTTGTAAATTTTGAGTTTCAAAAACCGGATCTTCTAAGTAAACTATTTCGGTCACTGTTTGTGGAACAACTTCTACTGTAACTTCTTGATCATCCACTTCTTTACTCATTGTGTGTGAATTATAACATCATTAGTACACTTTTAAAATGTTCCACGTTATATTAGACATTCCAAACTATGTTAATTGATGAGATTTGAATTGATTACAACTTATTTTTATTTATATTTTGACTAATAAACAACAAATAACCTACTAACTTAAAATTATTGACATTTTCTAAACAAACGTCAGATTTTAGGGTTTTTTATTTTGTTACTAAAAAGTAAGCAGAAATTCTCTAAATGTTTTAAAATTACGATAATTACGAATTAATTGATAAATATAATGATAACAAAATGTATGTTAATTTTCTTATTATAATTCTTATTTAATCAATTAGTGTAAAACAATTTCATAATAAAATTGCAGCTTTTAATAATCAATTAAAATCAATTAATTTTAAACGTACTAGAGATTCCACTTTAAAATTATGTTATCTTTTGATAAAACCAAAAAATTTTTTATTAAATTACACGATTTTATGGTGTATCGTTAAAAAACTTGAAAAATAATTTTTTAAGAGTTGGCAGAACCTACTGTCATCGTTGCGGTGTCTACGTGTGTTTACAGAATATAATGGGCAAGAAAGTTATTTTTATGAGAATTTCAGCTTGTTAATACGAAAAACCCTTGAACATACAAGATGAGGAAATTCCTGACGACTTCTTTACTTTTTTTACTGGCGTCTGTTATCAACGGAGATGAACACACTCACATAGTAAGTTATCGAAAATTTCGTGTTATTACTTACTTTTTTAGCTTTGATATGATAAGTTTATTGCTACAAAAAGGACGAAAATGTGTAATCAATCGATGTTGTGCTACGTAAGCAATAAATTTTTCATCATTCTTTGAAGGGCATGAAATAATTCTGAAAATGTCATTTTTATCAAAAATTTAAATGATATGAATTTAATTTTGTGGTAATCCTATGATTGTAAATGAATTAGATTAAACTAGATAACATGTTCAAGCTTCATTTTGATAATTAATGTGATTATTTGTGATGTGGTTGTGTTATATGGCCATCATCAATAGCAATGTGTATTGCAAGGTTTTTCCCAAGTAAACTGATATGAAAAGAATTTCTTTATTATTTGGAATGATTAGAATTTATTTTGCACATTATTGCAATGAGAATGTATTTTTCTGTACAAGTGTTTATTAAACGTGCTGTAAAAAGTCTAGGGGTATTCTTTGTATTTAGAAGAAATAATATAAAAAGTTTTTTGTACTTTTAAACTGGTCTTTAATTAGATAATAAATATGAGTCTTACTAGTTTCGACTAATAGCCATCTTCAGAGACTAGTTTTTTGGACATAATAATAGATTAAAATATCAAATATCAAGTTTACATTCTTTAAAGTTCGTTGGTTATAAATTATACATTACACCTTTATTATTTTATTTTAATTTGTAGCTTTAAAGAATGTAAACTTGATATTTTACTCTATTATTGTGTCCAAAAAACTAGTCTCTGAAGATGGCTATTAGCCAAAACTAGTAAGACTGATGTTTATTATCTAATTAAAGACCAGTTTGAAAGTACAAAAAACATTTTATATTATTTCTCCTAAATATTAACAAAAAGTGGTAAAATGGATTTCGAATATAATTCATTATTCTTTGGGCTATGCTAAGAATATTTTGTCCTTTAATGATTTTTTGAAATCCGCTTTGTTTCAAAGATATACAGTGATACAANCAAAAAACATTTTATATTATTTCTCCTAAATATTAACAAAAAGTGGTAAAATGGATTTCGAATATAATTCATTATTCTTTGGGCTATGCTAAGAATATTTTGTCCTTTAATGATTTTTTGAAATCCGCTTTGTTTCAAAGATATACAGTGATACAATAAAGTCTACATACACTCCAAAAAATGATAATATCTCAGGTCCTGAAATATTCAATGAAATTTTTATAATAGAAGTCTATATCATTTTAATATTTTACATAAATAACTTATTATTTATAACGAAAAACAGCAAACATAATCATATTTATAACTTAAAAAAGTCTACATACAGCTATAACTGACATGTAGATATAAGTGGTCAATTTTAAAAACGATCAACGGTCATCCGACAACTACTGAGGTTGATATAGCCAAATTCCTCACGACCTCAAAATCTATAACCGTAAATCCCGAAACACTTCGACTTGTGCTACGAGGTGAAAGCTACAGCAGGAGAGTTTCCAGAAAAGAGCCATTCATATTGGAAAGAAATGCGAAAAAATAGTCGATTTTGCTAAATTACATGAGCAAAAGCATACTTACTACCTTCTGGTATACTGTTGTATTTCCAGATGAAAGTAAATTCAATACTTTCGGTTATGATGGCACAACAAAAGTATGGAGAAAGAAAAACTAAGAGATGAATAAGAAAAAGTCATAGTGAAGCATGGCGAAGGAAACGTATGGTATAGGGTTGTATGTTGGGGGTAGTGTAGGAAATTTAGTTTATTGAGATAATTATGAACTGCCATGTATATCTAAACATATTGCGAACTATTGAACCAAAATTAAAACTAAAACTAGAAGTAACACTAGAAACTTCATGAAACGTCTTCATGACACAGGCTCATTGAAGCAAAGTGAATGATTAGGAAGGCCAATGACAGTTAGAAGATTGGAAGAGAATTGTAAATACTTTTAATGTAAGCAATGGGACTGTTTGGAAAATTTTTAACATTTACAACGCGTTCAAACACTTCTGCTGATTTTCTTCCACGTTTAGCACTCTGTCAATAGCTCTTGGACAAATTGCTTTTAATCCTTTAACTACCCACTTTATTTTTTTTTTACTGATGAGTCAAATTTTTCAAAAAATGCGTTAAGGAATTTTCACAATAACCATGTATCAGCTGAAGAAAATCCGCATGAGCTAAATAAAGAAAGATTTGGGTTGGAATTGTGGGTAACTGCATCTTTTTGCATCTTTTTGGAACAAATGTTACATCGGCAATAAGAAATTCAATGTGGTTTCGTGCACAATGGTGCACCAGCGCATTTTAGTAGGGTTGCTCATGAATTCTCGACAGTAACATATAGAGATCGCTGGATTGGTCGAAGTGGATCTCATTTGTAGCCTACCCGATCCCCATACTTAAACTCCTTGGATTTTTTTCTATGGGGCCATCTTAAATCTTTAGTTATACTGCTCCAGTGGAAAATGGGGAAGACTTGGTAAATCTTATAACTGCTGGATGCAATTCAATAAGAAACAATCCTGGCGTTTTTGAAAGGGTTTGGCAGTCAATGAGGAAAAGATTGGATTCTTGCATCTTAGCTGGAGATGGTCATTTTCAACAGATGTTGTAGATTAGGAAGCTTATATTTGTAATTTTTATTAATAAAATGTTGCTGAAATCTTTGTTTATGCTGCATCTTCGAAGCAAACCAGTTTTTTAAATGATCAAAGGATAAAATATTAGAATAGTCCAAAGAATAAAGTCTTAAATTTTTGCCGCATGTTTAATAAACAGCCCATATAGTATTACTTTTTTCTTCTAACAAAATGTTATTTTTGAAATAGGTTGTGTTAATTATAAAATAATTAATTATAAAATTATTGTTTCAATTAAACATTTCTTTACATTATAAATACATAGGTGATTTGAAAGTATGAAATATGTGTATTNCTTGGATTTTTTTCTATGGGGCCATCTTAAATCTTTAGTTATACTGCTCCAGTGGAAAATGGGGAAGACTTGCTAAATCTTATAACTGCTGGATGCAATTCAATAAGAAACAATCCTGGCGTTTTTGAAATGGTTTGGCAGTCAATGAGGAAAAGGTTGGATTCTTGCATCTTAGCTGGAGATGGTCATTTTCAACAGTTATTGTAGATTAGGAAGCTTATATTTGTAATTCTTAGGAATAAAATGTTGCTTAAACCTTTGTTCATGCTGCATCTTCGAAGCAAACCAGTTTTTTAAATGATCAAAGGATAAAATATTAGAATAGTCCAAAGAATAAACTCTTGAATTTTTACCGCATGTTTAATAAACAGCCGATATAGTATTACTTTTTTTCTTCTAACAAAATGTTATTTTCGAAATAGGTTGTGTTAAAAATCTGAGTAATTATAAAATTATTGTTTCATTTAAACATTTCTTTACATTATAAATACATAGTTGATTTGAAAGTATGAAATATGTGTATTTGAAATTAATAGATATTTTTTTGTTTTTTATTTAGATTTAGAAACATTTAGTATTAAATCAATACATACTTTTGAAACCCTAACGCTAAATACTCTGTCATCAGGACTTAACATCCTGTTGTTGCACTTTCATTTCATTGGACGCAGTGCCAACAATAGACTGCTCTATCATTACAGCCAATAAACTTAATGTATTATCTGATGCGCCGGATAAGGCGGTGGTTTAGTCGTATGAGATCTTGTGAAACAGTTCTTCTGAATTTGTACGATTTTATCGGATACTCCTGTCGTAAAGTTTTATTTGTATGACATCATCTACAGAATATACACACATCTATTGAGATGAAACTTCAAAAATACTCAAACATTAGAAAGTTCATTTCCCCTGAACAAGTATTGATAGTAACATTAGTGTAAGTTAAACCACATTAAGGAAATCAAATATATCTTTAAAGAGAATCGGTATACAGCATTCAAGGAGTATCTGATGACATCTCAGCATCCATAGATGATTGCAAAAACGCTTGCGGCCTCAAGCGAACAAAATGATTTCTAACGTTGTATCAACGTGGTATGAATTATAACGCTTCGGCTGCAAATGGCCTAGACTTGAACAACTTGAGCAACTTTGTATCTATGTGGTATTAATGGAATGTCTTGACTTGTTCGCACTGTATTACGAATCCCACGTCTTAAACCTAATCAAGGGACAACAATGATTTTCAACCTTGTATCTCTGAGCTTAGAGCAAAATAGTAATAATGATCATGATATTTATCATATTGGTAACTTCTGATACCATATCAGTGTGTTAATCATTTGATGGTTTAAGGAAC